AAAAAAAAAAAAAAAAAAAAAAAAAAAAAAAAAAGGAATTGGACTTAGAATAACAAACTCTGCTCTTCAAAAAACACTTGTATTAGTTTTCTATTGCTATTGGACACATTAACACAAATTTAGCAGCTTAGAACACCACACACACTTATTATCTGTTTCCATGGAACAGGAATCTATGCAACAATTTAGCTAAATCTGCCACTTGGGATCTCACAAGGCTGTAATTAAGGTGCTAGCCAAGCTTGGGTCTCACTTGAAGGCTTGACTGGGGAAGGAGCCATTTCCAACCTTCCTCAGGTTGTGGGCAGAATTAACCTCCTTGCAGTTGTAGGACTGAGGTCTCCATTTTCTGGATGCTGTTGGCTAGGGCCACTCAGCTCCTCGAGGCTGCCTGCAGCTCTTTCCCTGTGGCCCTCTCCACAGTCCTTCTCACACTATGGCAGCTCACTTCTTAAAGCCATCAACAGAGAAAAGTCTGCCACTCCAGTCTGTGAAGATGGGATCTCACATAATGTAACATAATCAAGGGAGTGACATTCCACCACCTTTGCCATATTCTATTGGTTAAAAGTAAGTCACAGGCTCCACACACACTCAAAGGGAGGGAATTGGGAACAGATGGGGATAACAGGAGGCAGGAATTATTGGAGTCACCCTAGGGTCTATCTTCCCTGACATTGGTAAGACAATGGATAGGCAAGAGAAAGACTGGTAGGGAACATCTGCAATACACATTTTTGGAACAGGGCTTGTATCCAGAATATGTAAAGAATTCTTAGAACTCAATAATTACAAAAAACATAAAACCCAGTTTTAAAAATGGGCAAAAGTTTGACAGAAACTCCAACAACAACAAAAAATTTTAATGATCAATAAGCACAAGAAAAGGTCATCAGGGAAATGCAAGTCAAAACCACAGTGAGATATCACTACACACCCACTGGAACGACTAAAATTAAAATGACCAGCAATACCAACTAGTGGTCTCGACCTGTGTTGCAAGTCTCTAGTGCGGTGCAGAGTTAGAGTCCACTCTTTGATTCCAGAGAACACCTGACATAAAGGGAAATACAGGCTCATTTCTGACTTACCTCCAAAAAAAAATAGACTTTTTTTCAGGTTGTGGATGCCATGGAACTGGAAAATCATCAGGAAACATACAGATGCTCTGGCTACGCTCACATGCTGTGTGTGCTCATCCAGGGGTTCTGGGACTCTCCGCACCAGCTCTTCATCCTCCTTTTCACCAACATGCTCTTTTGGCTAACTCGGTGTCTACTCCCTAACAACGCTCAGCCCATCACGACTACCCTGACCTCCCCGATTTGCAACTATTGAAACCTCTGTATGATATCTCCTCCCTTTAAAAGTGTAACTAACTTTGTCATCTGCTCCTAATGTTAGCATTTAAATACACTACCCAGAAAAGTGGCTGTGGGTGTCTGCAATAATGAGGCCCTTGTTAAAAGTCTTGACAAATGAAATCTCATTGTTCAGCTCATATTTTCATATCAAACCATTTGACAGGTTGCTGGTTACCCTTGAATCTGCTTCCACCCCTGGTCTCATCAGTGGCTTTCAGCCACGATGAGGTGGGACATGTCTACAAAATTCTCAGAGAACTTTACTGTTCCATTCTTCACGTACTGATGGCACTGGGAGGTTGGGGAATTAAGTGCATATGTATCCTTTTACTATACAAATTTAAACAACCCCTAACGCTTGAGGATTACCTTTATTTTAAAGTTTGTACTAGAAAGAAAATCCTTCAAGTCTCCTTAGTAACCTACACTGGAATTAACCATCACCACTTAATGCAAATCACACTAGGTCCCATTGATACTTCATATTTGACCATAAAAGCTAACCGAGACTAAAACTATCCCATTTTGAATGCACAACTGTAGGTGAGTAAAATATTTATCACAAGGCAATATTCGAAGCTTACTATTTTGGTGTTTAAAAAGAAAGCTTTATGACATGTTCATAAACACAAACAGAAAATAAACACAGTTATAATTGTTTTTTAGCAAAAAATAAACCCTGATTATCAATCATAGTTATATCAAATACAACTTTTGAGTAAACTACTTACATCCAAAGAGTCCTCCTTCAATAGGATAAGGGCCATGTTCTGTGACACCAATCGGCAGGAATACCCTAAAGTGGGGAAGGGACAACACACATGAGTTCATCACTCCTTCTGTGAGCTCACCGGTTTCCAGTGATTATCTGAATTTAGACTTCCCTCTTATATCTACCTTATTACCATTTTGGTTCATTCAGAGAACTAGGGCCAGAGTGAGGGGATACAGTAAACTGCAGCTGATTTTGACTCTTGCAGACAGCTCGAAGAGAACTGGCTGGGACGGTATTTATAACCAAAGGCTAAAATAAATACTTGCCCACTTTCTGTGGGTTTTTCTTTATCTTTGTTATCCCTGTATAACATTAGGATTAGCCTTGGATTATTTAAATAACAGCAAACACTTTAGAAAGACAAATGGGATCTAAAGGTGCTCCTAAATAAGCATAAAGGTGCTATTGGAATAGCAAGATCCTTGTTTCCTTTAAAAAAAAAAAAAGTAGGCAATTTTCACTGCAGGTTTCAATGGAATATTATTTTCCATTAAGCGAGTCACTTTTCCTGCCAAAAGTTCAAAGTACTATAATCTCCACTTCAAGAATTAAAACCTGAGTTAAAAAAAAAAAAAGAAAGAAACAAGTTTGTTCGGAACAAAAGTATTCTTAATTCTTACTGATAATTTCTATCTCATTTTTCAATACAGTTATCTCTACAGGATAAGCAAGATAGTCTTTACTTGTCCTCCCAGCAGGGGAACATATTTTCTACGAATTTCTTTCCTACTCAGTCTTTGCACTTGGTGGCCATGGCAAGAGCCTCTCCCTCCTCCTCCTCAAATTCACACATTCTGAGGGGAGGAGGCGGCTCCAGCAGCCCTGAAGGCTGCGGGGTCTACCGGGGCTGCTGTCTTTCTTTCAAGTCAGCTGCATCTGCTCAGTGCCCTTGACAAGGTTGGTGTCAACATGTGCTTTTCACCAACCCCGATCTCAATTTATCTCATTGAGGAGAGAAAAGAAAAGGATCCTTCTACCTGGAAAACTAGCCCTCACAACCAGTTTTTTCTCAGGACCTTAAGATAATGGATCAATGACTATAGAAAAATGAAATAAATCATTAGCATGTTGAATTTAAACCTTCAAGCAAGTATGTGACAATCTCAAGGAAGGGCCTTAACCAATACTGTTCTAAAGCAAGGAGGATTCTCCATGCAGAACATCTGAAACCTCTATTCTCACCGATGATACTTAACTAGAAAAGCAGACAGGTACTTAATGACAAGAAACACCTGCTGCCTTTATGTATCAATCCTACCCACCAGGTCTTCTTCTCATCTTAAAGAAACCCTAATGACCGGCACAGAATAGAATTCAAGATAGTTGAAAATTAAGACCGAGAAAAACCTTGTTTTTTGGGGGGGGCGGATGGAGAAGGGGAGACAATTAACATTTTTATTTGTTCATTTTGGAATGCACAAAGTATATCCTTTATTAATGATCGTCATTTGGAAGGAATAGATTGTAAAGCATCTCAGACACAAATTTTAAAGCACAAAATTATGGTTTTAATCCAAATGTTATTGTTTTAAAGCAATATAAAAAAAAGACATAGTCCTTTGACAGTAGTTACCTCAAGGGACTGAAACAAACAATTTTCTATACATTTTCAAGCTAGTACAAGTCTATTTTAAGGATAGTGATGGGAGTAAAAATGAGACTGAGAATGCCTTAAAGATTCTGCATAGTAGGATCGGAATAATCAAACTCTTTGTTTCCTATTAAAATTTTACAAATTACATTCTTCCTTCCTATAGGTGCTTAGATTAGGTCCAGAAGGGAGCTCACATTTTATTTTCACTTACAAAAGGGGATATTGCAACTTCAATTATTTCCCTCTATGTAGGGCTTACTCTTTCTTCATCCCCAGAGACTTCTAGCAACTTCATGTAATGCAAACTGTTACAAATTTGGTATAACTAATGCAAAAGGATTTACTGGTAGTTTTTTATTTGAACAACAGCTGCAGAAGCAAGCTATAATTTTTAAGTCCTAGCTTGCTGTTTTATTTCATATTTTTCAATTTAAGCAAAATGCCATTTGACAACTGAAGCTACACAAAGATATTACGGGGGGATAAAAAAGCATTTTTTCTAGCCATGGCAGGGGGAGGCGATAAATAAAACTACTGACACTTTCACGAATTTAAATATACAAAAGTAAAGGTTTCTGAGAAGAAACAGATCAAGGTAATTTGGAAAATGAAGGGAGATTTTGCTTAGAGAATTATCACACAGAACACTTGTACTAGACAGACCATGGAAGTTTAGCCCAGTTAATTGTGACTTAACTAATGTAGCTAATTAAATTATGTCAATCCAAGTTTGGTGTGCTTGATTTCTAATGTTTTTGGATAAAATGAGGTCAACTCTTGGAGAAGAGCCAGGTACAGAATTCCAATCCACACTTGTAAATTGAGGTCTAGCTCTTTAATCTCACAATCTAACAAGACAGCCATAAAATGACTGAGAGGGGAACCTGTGGGATTTCACTTTTTACTACAGCTGAAATTCACAGCATTCTACAAGTGTTTAGTCCTTGTACTATCTGAGTATAATCAACATTCAAATAAATCAAAATACTGTACAGGGTCTATCATACTTGGAGCAGGACTTGATTTTAAGACCATAATATTTCACACTACAAAATATTACCAATCAACCAGTGTGCCTTTTTTTTTCTTTTTTTTAAAGGTAAGCTCATATTTGCCAAAGATATCCAAATCTGGGTTTCTCTGGAGACATTTTTGAAAAAGTCAGGAACAATTTATCTTTACTAACCATGTGTCCTGGGATCACAGTAACCAAGCTACCCATCACTGGGATTCAACATGGTGCCAGCTCTCAACAAGCATGTTGTTGGTTATGAATATTTTCACAGATGATCTGATCAATGTTCGAGTGTGAGTGTATGAAAAACACAGGCAGACACGATGAATGGATGACAAAAGGTGGTCTTTTAGGCTACTCTGGATGAGGTCAAAGAGACCCAGTTGACAGTCTTCATCCTCCAGAGAACCAGAGAGCTGAGGGTTGTCCGCAGAGCCACATGCCTGGGCATCCCTCCCTCCAGCCCCTCTCAGGAACCCTCACCATGCCAGAGAACATGCCACCTCCACCTGACTCAGGAGCTCCTCACAAACTGGTCCATCCCCCATTCTTTGTTGTCCTTTTTCTTTTTTTCCTTTTTGTCTTTTTTACTGACTGGCAACGGGATCACAACCCTCGGTGTTGTGCCCGCACCGCGCTCAGCCAGTGAGCGGGAACTGGTCTCCACATGGGATCCGAACCCTTGGCGGGAGCCCCGCCGCACTCCCAAGCGGCGCACTGTAGCAGTGCGCCACCAGGCCGGCCCCCCCCCCCCCCCCCTTTTTTTTTTTAATGAATTCAAAGGATCCAGTTTTGGACCTGCCTCAACCATGAAGGCTTCTATGCTCTTTTGCAACTCATGCATTTTCCTTCTGGGAAGTGAAACTGCACGTCACAGTGAAGCACGCAGTTCTCAGCACTGTCACACCTGTGAGACTCAGGCTGAGTGACTCTCTCCTCTCTCTGCCTCGGTTTTATCTTTAAAAAGGAAATACTGCCTACCCGCAAGGGAATTAAGTATAAAGGATGTAGCATAGTATCTGGCACATAATAGACAACATTTACTAGTGAGTATCATAAAAGCCAGCCGTGCTATATGCACCCTGCACAATTAGTACTTTCTCCTGTATCACATTCTCTAATGCATCTCATAATTAACTCATGTCTGGGCCGGCCTGGTGGCGCTTGGGAGTGCGGCGGCGCTCCCGCCGAGGGTTCGGATCCCATATAGAGACCGGTCTGCTCGCTGGTTGAGCACGGTGCAGGCGCAACACTGAGGGCTGCGATCCCGTTGCCGGTCGCGGTGCGGGCGCGACACTGAGGGTTGCGATCCCGTTACCGG